CACCAAAGTAGCGGTCCCGGGAGCGGGGGAAAATCTCCTAGCACCGCTGCTCGATCTAGAATAGTATATCAAGCCCGACCATAGACTTCTCGTCGATAATAAGGTAGTGGATATCATGGAAGACCTCCTATATGGCCTTAAGGGTGTCGGTAGGTAGGGACACGTACTCACCCATAAGTTTAAGCGGGAGGCGGAATAATAAATATAAAGTACGGCCTATAATATTAAATACGGCAACCCCTATTAGGGCTATACGTAGGATAGGGGTACGGACGCCAGCCTCTCTAGCTATCCGAGTAAGTATGGCGGATAAGAGCATAATCAGGTAGGACTTTCTAGTCCCTACCTTACCGTCGATATTTAGTAGTAGGGGGTCTAGTCTTACTAAAAGGGACTCGCGGAAATACTCGACAACCATATCGAACACCTACCGCTGCTTTAGCTAGAGGGTACTAGGCGAGGCGTTAGACTAGGCCTTAAGGGGGGCGGGGTCTACGGAGATAGACTCCTTCTAGTAGTCTAGGGGGATATAGAGATCTATATTACGGTATATATAAGGCATCCAGTCATACTCACAATCGAGATCACGCTCTCCGAGGTTGTTAGGGTCCTGGAGATACGTGGCTAGGTCCCGATTTAGGCCACGCCGCGCCAAGTCCTACTAGGAGCGGGGCGGCTTGTCCTTATCGTCCTCGTCGGCGGAATCCTCGTATAGGTCCTCCGGGGTATCGTTAACCTCGCGGCCGTACCGATCGTCGGGGTGGCTATAGGAGGCCCGGTAGTACTAATACGCGTCGAGCCAGGAGCCAAACCTAATACCGTTAAGCTCGAGAAGTTTACCTTTATGCCGGAATAGGTGGTGGAGCGTGACCTTAACCCGGGTATAGTCTAGTATACCGGGCCGGTACTAGGGCTAGTATAATAGGACATGGTCTAGCACGGTACTACCGCGGGGCTTCTTAGTCTTGTGGTTAAAACGTCGAAGGAATTCCAAGTACGTGGTATACCTATATTCGGAGGGACGTTAGCGGTACTTCGTAAGCAGTGACTTATGTGGCTAGATCTCCTCGTTAGGTTAGGTATGGTATAATATCGCCTGGTCATCCTAGGCGCGATACTAGACAGCGACCATAGTCCGGCTACTATAATGTAGCGGGATATGGAGTAGAATCTGTAAAACTTCCTAGGCGGACTAATCACGCTAGGAGAGTAGAGCGTTTATCATCTTACGTACGGCCGAGAGAAGCGGATTACGATCATTAATATAAGGTAGAATGCCCCGTATCAGGTCGAGATAGCTTTATATCGGGCGCTTGGACTTACTAACGTACTTAGAGAGATAATTTAACAAAGCCTCGGCACCGGTATATAAAGCGATGTCTATATTAGCTAGCCACGCTATACTGACAACCGGATTATATAGGTTAAGGTACGCGTTATTACGCTCCGGTTATAGACGGTAGTAGGTAGCGCTAAGTAGCTTCGCTAGGACCGGTTCCGTGCGAATCTAATAGGGGAAGCCTATACAGCAGTTAGTCTAGCCCGTAGTATTATTCTTACGTAGGTAATACTGGGCGCTATAGCGGTAGCGCTAGACCTAGTTGACCATACGCCCTAGATATTCGATAGTATTATACTAATCCTCGGGCCGGAGCTATAGGTCCGACCGGGCTTATTCATAGATGGCGTGCGCTATACGGCTAGGAGTCGGGTTTACCGCGGAGATATATATACCCTAATGCCGGGCAAAGTAGGAGCGGAGCTCGGGGGTATCTAGGAGCTCGGGGTCTAGGCAGCCACGGATCTAGAATAGCGCGTGGTTATAGACCGAGCCTCGGCCCTACCACTCATATCGGTTCTAGTAGTCGCTAATATAGAATATCCGCTTTAGGACCTTCTCTTAGAAGGCCCTAAAGCGTATATCAAACCACTAGGCGACGATATAAGGATTCTCTTAGAGGTTAGTCCGCGCAATACGGCGCTATATAACGCTATCAACTACTAGCTAGTCCCTATATTAAGGGAGATAGCGCATAAGGTCATCCTAATAGAGATCGGCGGCCGAGAGGGTAATAAAGAGATAGGTAGTACCGAGGTTCTAGACATAGGCGAGTAGGTCATAGCGGCAGGCATTCTAGTAGGGCCGGGTGCCTCGGAGGTAGGTAGAATAACACGCGATATCCTAAAGTAGCTTCTAGGCCTCGGGGGCATTACTTTCAAAAGCTATATAGAGGTTATCCGCCGAGATCTCACGGTCACTATAGCCCTTAACGAAGAAGTCGGCCCGGGATATGGCGGAGCGCCGTATAAGTATATTAAAAACCACAAAGCGGAACCGAGGATACTATACGAAACGGCCCGACTTATAGCGCATCAGGTGCCGGCACCACTCTTCAAACTTAACTATACGTAGGCGGGAAGCCTAAAACTCGGCCTTATCATACGGGAAAAGGGTCGGGAAGGCGAGGGAGAGTATAGGCTAGCTACTACTAAACTCGAATAGCGGAGTGGCCCTAATAAAGGGTAGGGTGAGGTAGCGACGCCGGGACGGTACGCCTTCGGGCTAAGTAGAGGACTCCTCGGGCGGCGGGCGGGCTACAAAAACGATATTACGGAGTACGGCCTCCTCGTCTAGTTCGTTCTCGAGGTTAGGAACGGCCACGTACTCGGGTCCTAAGTCATCCTAGATAGAAGGGTCTAGCTAGGACGACGCTAGTGGATCCTCGGGCTTAATAGGCTAGATTTAGGACGGTATAAGGTCAGAGACATCATTATAGAGCGGTAGCTAAGATAGGCGGGCCGGGTCGATAGTAAGATAGCGGTAACCGGGGTAGTGGGTAGTAAGGAACTAGAGCTACTACGTAACCGCTACGCGGCGGACTATAAAGTCACGATTAAACTAGCGGCGGAGCTATAGACGGTCTATAGTGTCTATAAGTCGAAGTATAACGAGGTCCAGCTCGGCAGGGAGCAGTAGTAGCCGATCGTAAACCTTAGGAATATTCACCAGGAAGTACGCCACGTAGCCGCGGTAGAAATACTATTAGCCACGAACCTAGCGGACTTCGATAATGGTATAAACGAAGGAAATCAGCATCTCTTCTACCTATATTAGGACAAGGAGGTAGGACGGGACGTCGTCAGGACGCATATCGTTACTCGGACCGTAAAAGTAGGTACGGTCCGATAGAACCGGCTTCCGGTCCTCGTCCTTATCCTTAATACGACACTAATAACAGACTCCGGCCTAGGGCCCCCGTATTACGCACTTCATATCGAACTAACGCTCGTCATAGCGCGTATAGGTCTCTATAGTAGATTCTCGAAGTATATCCTAGAAGTCACGGACTAGAGCCTATTACGCCTCTGTCAAAGGCCTAGACGTCGCGGTATAAACCGAGTAGGCCTATAAAGATTAGGATAAATACGGTGGTATATAAGTAGGGGTAGCTATACGCCGACCGGGGGAAGCGCGAGGGGTGCCGGGCGTAGGGAGAGGGGGCGAGGACGGGAAATACTACGATAAAAATAGCGTAGGGGGATCGGAATATAAAGAGACATAAGAGGAGGGGGAACTAACGATACTAGGAGGGGAGGCGTCTAGGAGACCTCCTCACTAGCGCGACGCCGGACGCGGTACTCCCTCTTCTTTATATTATAGGCCCTAGTAGAGGCCGCGTAGCCGGGAATAGCCTTAGAATAGGCGACGGCGGGCCTAGACACTACGAGCTATTTAGATAGGGGATATCAGTAATATAAAGATAGTAAGGAAGTTACAAACCTTAGTAGACGCTTCCTCGCGGCACTAGAGATAGGCTTAAGTTAGGGGACCGGCCCGGCGACGATTCTAGAATTGGTCTAGCGGCTTAGCGGTGCCACATTTGACGCATATACGGTGATCGGTCTACGGGACGGGCCGTATATAGATCTAAACCTCAATAAACGGGGGTCTAGCGGGCGGTCTCTAGCTCTAACGGCAATCTAGGCACTCGGTAGTAAGGACACCTGGTTGGCGGCGGTTCTGGAACTAGTCCGTATACTTATAGACGCGGCACCTAGCGTATCTACGGCTGCTAGATTGGAGATCCGGCGGGCTCGATTAGATAATAGGCTGCGGCGGGCGAGGAATCTCGACGTACGGGCTAGGGAGGGGACGCGGTTTATAGGGTATCAACGTCGCGGCCTACACGTCTCTTTTACGCGCGTAGCGCTATAAAGTATTAGACAATAGCGTATTATATAGATGGGATGTTACGCAGATACCTGGTTATTCGTAGTACGACAACCGAGACAGGTTCGAAGGGACCTAGTACGGGCCGTGGGATCCTAGGACACGTCAAATTGATCCATAGGCTTAGCATTACCGCATTTAACGCAAGTTATGAGATCCATTATAACGCGAGGAGGCCTATGGGCGTATGCAAATAGAGCTATAGCGAGAGGTGGAGGCAACGTAGTTTGTAAGATGGATAGTTGGTATTGGACGACGCGGTATAGGACCGTGTTATAAAAAGAGCAATAAGGCCTGTTTAAAGCCGGGTTATATATAGGCCGGATAACAATGGGAAGCATGTGCCAAGCACGTGGCATTGTCTGTCACGTGCAAATCCGGGCCGGGCCCTCAAAGTCGAATCACGTGACTAACCCTACCCTGATCACATGAGGAGTGAATTCTACAGCCAATCAGAGGCCAGGATCTCAGAATTCGCAAGGCGGGTTTTTTGGCATAGTCTGTTGGGTATATTGCCTGTATTATTTGCTTCGCTTACGCTCAGCAAAATAACATACTAAAAGATAAAAGATAGAAAGATGAACATATTCCCAAATTTAAGCATTATCTGATCCATAGTAACATGGTCGGCTTCACCACAGCCGAGGTCCAATATAGGCGATCCGAGAGCTGCGGTGATACTTAGCCTTAGCTAGTTACCTCTACTTCCAACCCTTCTTCCCATCCCATCCCATTTTGATTTTCGCATTTGTCATTCCTTTCAGATACAATGTCAGGCAACGCAATAGGCGCACCGTCCAGGAAACTGGACGAGTTCGAGGAACTCGTCTACGAGTATACGGCGCGAATGGGCCTAGGGAACGAAGCAGTAAGTACTCACGTACCACATGCCATGCAGCAACATTACATACATATTATATGTATATAAACATACATATGAACTACATTTCCGCTACACACCACGATGCCACATAATTACCCAGGTGAATCCAGCGCTTACTTATTTCAAAAAGCATTGGGATGTCGACGCCCGCAGCTGTAACCTCCGCTTCGAATCCGCAACCCGCGGTCCTCCGGCTACAGTCTCGTTCCTGTTGACGATTACTCCTACGCTGAGTAATTACATGGGCAATCTTCACGGAGGCTGTGCTGCTACTTTGATCGATGTTCTATCAACGACTATCTTGTTGGGCATTTCCGAGCCTGGGAAGTTCTCTTTCGGTGGTGTTAGTCGCAATCTCAAAGTGACTTATCTGCGGCCTGTACCTACGGGAACTGAAGTGCGGCTTGTTTGTGAGGTTATTCATGTTGGGAAGAGGTTGGCTTTGCTTCGGGCTGAGATTCAGAAGGCGGAGAGTCGGGATATTTGTGTGATTGGGGAACATGAGAAGGCAAATACCGATCCGGAGGTGACGCAGAGGATCTGATCTGATCTGGGTTGGTTTTTATATGTGTAGAAGGGGGATACTATATATTCTCAGGATTTTAGAAGGTACTTGAAGATCCATTCGTATAGATCTCATTTGCATCAATAAAATTGGCAAATCCTATCAATCGCACGAGCGAAGAGCATGGTATTGACCAGAAATATTGTGCTTCGTTTGTTATGATAGGGAATAGCGGATAAAGAACAGAGAGACTATCGCACATGCCCAAGAGAAATATAAGCAATCTAAGTAGTACTAGATTATCCGATTGTCAAGGCGACGCCTTTTTACTCGGTGGCCAATTGCTGGTCTTCCCGGAGACCCTCAACCTTCAACTCCTCGCCAGTGGCACGGCGGTACACATCACGGACATCATCTGGGAGAAATGGTTAGTTGAAATTCATAAACTTGCAATCATAAGACAGCTTACCGGTCGTAGTCTCGAAGTGAGATGTCGCGTCATAGCTCTTAGAGATGAAGATGTTGGACTGCTCGCCATTGTCAATGGGCTCGTAGAGAGGAATGGGGGGTCCCATGAACTTCTCTTCGATCTTGCCCAGACGCTCGAAGCCAGCCTCAAGCTCAAGGTGGTGGTTGGCATCGTTCTCGGCGATGGTGGACACGATGGCGATGTAGTAGCCCTTAGGGCAGACGTTATGCGCGGATGAGACCATGGCAATGTAAATATCTGGAGAGGTTAGTGCCCTGTTAATAAATCGGGACCGCATTGAACTCACCGTGCTTACGTCCAACCTGGGACTGGGGAATGATCAGCTGCACAGAGTCGCTGCTGTCGGTCTTATCGATGGGGTGGTTCAGAATGCAGATAGCCTTGAGCAAGTATCCGGTGACCTTAGACTTGCTCGGGAAGTAGGAAGGATCAGCGATGATCTTCTTGGTCTTGGTCTCAAACTTCATGGCCTCGGATTGGTCATCACGGTCCTTCATGGTCGCCTTGATACCGGAGACCTTGCCGTTCTCGTAAAGCACCTCGTCAACGTCGGTGTTCAACATATAGGTACCGCCGTAGATGGCAGACAGACGAGCGAAGCCCTGGGGCAGCTCGCCGAGACCGTAGAGAGGGTAGATGTAAGGCGATTTTCCGTAGCGTGCCATAGAGTTGACATACAGGCGGATGCGGTTAATGGTTTCGACGGCGGCACCGTTCTGGTTGATATATCCGTCGGAGGGGTACAAGGCCATGGAGTGACCGACGAAATCGCGAGTGTTATCCTCGAGGCCAAACTTGTCGTAAACCTCCTTCATCGTGCAAGCGTGAATGTTCAATCCTGGTCTCTATTAGCTATCCGCTTTGGCGAACCGCGAACTGACTCAGATTGCAAATACTCACCCTGGTGACTGGCTGGGTCGTCCTCCTTGAAATCACCAACCCACTCGAGGAACTTCTTGGCACGTCGCTTCTCGAACAAGCCCATGAGCGATGAGCGGAGAGCTTCACCAGCATCCGAAGGCACTTTAGCCACGGTCGCCTTGGGGCCCTTGCCTTGCTGGACATAGCTGCCAGCAATCTGCTTGAACTCGAGGTACCGGGTAACATCGGTGGACACCAAAATGTTGGTCAACTCTCCATTGGACATGAGCAGCTTGGGGACCAAGTCGATGTTCCAGTCATTGACCCTCCCGTATTTCTTCCATGGCTCCTCGCCGGGTTTGACGTTGCCGTATTTCTTGAACAGCTGCAAAAGGGTGTCAATAGGGTAAGTTGAAAATGAATCGGTGCACATACTGCTTCAATGTTGACGGAAGCTGCTTCTCTGTGGCTATTGTTAGCTATTTTGATATTGGTGCTGTCATCGTGAGCTTCTCCAACTTACCCTCCATAGTGATCATTGCGATCGATGTGAAGGACCTTGTTGCCCTTGACACTGAGGACACTGTAGTCGAAAACAATGAGAAAATGGTAGAATTATTAAAAACCAAGCTCAAAGACCTACCCAGACAAAACACACTCGGTTAGGCCTGAAAGAAAATGGTCAGTTGTTGACGTTTGGGGGGGATGGCGGGGTAGCATCATACCAGTACCGAGCACCACAACATCATACTCGGGGGCAATCTCGTCCATAATGAATATGGAATATTCTAAGGGTAGAGAAAGATAGAAAGATGATTCAAGAAAATGAGTAGGAAGAGAAAGTTGACTACACTCCCCGCGGATCAACGAAGCGGTAAGAAAGGGGAACTAGTTATTTGACGGATCCGCCACTAGTGAATTACCTCACGATATTAATGACATGGGACAATTTGGCTTCAATGAACCCCTGAATATGTATACGCTTGAGTTCTTTTATTTCAGGGGTAAAATATGATCGGTTCCCAACATTCTTACCTACAGGGTTAAATTAAAAGGAGGTTTGTGCCAGATGATGAACCATCTCTCATATATCCAATGTATAATTTGACATGCGCACTACTAAAACCACCTTGAAAAGCTAATGTTACATACTTAATTGACCCTTGAAGACTTGGCGTAAGTCTCCTCGACTGGGTGTCTAAAACCTCTTCTCGTGCTTATTGTTCCTTGCCTTGGGCTGGTCCCTTGGCCTCTTGCTCGACCTCAACATCATCGAGCCCGTAAAAGTTCTCAGGGCGGTATCCACGCTTGTACATTCGTGAGGCGTCCTCCCAAGCATACCAGCGTTCACGTAGAACGTGCTTGATGTTCTTCATGGTGCCTCGAATCTAACATGATCAACGAGTCAGTCGGGTTCAGACAATTTCAATCAATTAATTGTTGTCTTGAAAGTAACGAAGAGAAAAAAAGTCTCCACACAGCTTTCCAAGATATGAAGATAAACGAGAAGGCTTATACAGCTGGGGGAAAACTCACCACCTTGTCCCGTTCCTGGGATTCAAATCCACCGTAACCAGCCTGAATTCTTTCTCTCTCGAAATCCGATGTGGCAATGCGGTTTCGTTCCCGAACGCATACATGCCACAGACCGTGGAGGTCCTCCCAACTCCTTTCGCGGAGTTCCTGGATACCCCACTGACGACCTAGATTGCCAACATCAGCATTGCTCGTAGAACATTCATTCTATAAGTTGGAGACCCATCAAACTAACCATGAGTGTTGTCATAAGATGGGGTAGGCAATGCTTCCCGGTTAGGGGGGAAGAAGGCCCAGAGTCCATGGTTGGGGTTTGTTTCACGTGGTTGCATGTCTTTTGGCGACACAGGCTTGGGCAATGGCCATCTTGACACGGCAAATGGGGTTCGGGGACCGGTTCGATTGATGGCCGATACGCCACGGTTTTTGCTCTTGTCGCGTCGAGGGTTGGCGCCGACGGAGGCAGTGGAAGAAAAGCTTGAAGACTGGATGGCTGACAGAGTCACGGAAGGGTGAAGTGATGGCGCGAGATAGGTAGGAGGCAATTCAGCCATAGCCAGCCCTCTCAGGCGGCTAGCAATGCGTGGAACCTGCTGCATTATTGTGATTGCTTTCCCCAGGATGGTCGGAGTCGGAGATTGATGGCCTTTCTTTTCGCAAAGGCGGCAAGGCTAGTCACGTGCAACCACCAACTCAAGATGAGCTGGGATGCTTCCAGCCTCGGGTTCATCGGATTCTCACTTCTTTTTCTTTTCTCCCCAAGTCATCTTGGTTCTTCTAATCTTTCTTTAATTCAGTAATCTACAATCCCAAAAAAACTTATCATTAGAGATATCTTTTATCTTTACCTTTTACACCTTCCACCGCGGTTAATTACGGACTTGGCCTGTGCATTGTTTCGCACCCGCGCGTCTAACCACCCAATCGACCACTCGGCGGAGGTGTACCGCATCAAGCGTGACCAAGAGGCCTTGTGGATTCCTCCCCTCCACAGATTCACTTCCGGTCTATTACTCGGCCAGTCTGCTTTTGATTTTTGACATATCCTGGGATATTGGGAAATACCTTCTTCTTCAGAAATATCGACTATGAATAGGCCAGGTTCGTCATTTTCCTTCAATGCCTTCGCAAACCCTTGTGCCTTTCTTATCTTTCCCTACCTCCGCGGACTACTTGATATAGTCGGACTTGCTGTTGCGCTGGGATATACTCTCATTGGTAGTGGGAGTTACCCTCAGAACTGTGGAAGCGTCAGGGAGTCCAATGTCAAGCCTTGGTGCAGATGGTTTTACATTTGCGACCGAGACATTTGCAAGGACATACCCTCACATTCCTGTGGTGTTGATCTGAGCAGCTCTTGATGCGACGATCGTGCTGACTTGTCACGCTTGTGTCAGGACCTGGCCCGCAGCCACTGAAAGGCATGTCCGGATTCCCCACACAACAGCAAGCACAAGCTCGAACTGCATCATTAGCCTCCGCGCGATTGTCAAACGGGAAACTGGGTGCGATTCTCGAGTCATACTTTCTGGACACTCAATATTATCTTTTATGGAAGGCGTGCTAACATGGGAGTATCAACAGGCGCCGGTGCGAATTGGAGCTTCAATCTACCTGTTAGCGGAACATCTGGCCTACCGGGCACTCAGCAGCGCACAATGGGCACCATGGGAAGTTTTGCGCAAAGTCTTGGAGGATCTCAATCTGCGGCACCACTTGATCTCTCGTAAGTACTCTTTTGCCATGGTTCGCGGTGGTCTCCTGTATCTTTGGCCTTCCAATTTGTCTCCGAACTGACGAAGTCGGTGATTCTAGGGAGTTCCCTTCGCTATCAGGAGCATCACAGCAATCACAGTCACAAACTCCCGGTCAGCTAATGTGGGCCAACGCAAGTCAACGCGCTGCTCAGCAAACACCTGTGCAAAGACAACAGCTCCCTCAGCCATCGCAAACCCCCTCCCGTTCCTCCCAACCCCAGGGTCTTCCTACACCTCAACAATCTCAACCACCGCATGATGACATGTTTCCTTCTGGTTCGCAGTTTGCCAATCGACTTGATGACTTTAGAAATGGTGGCCAGGGTATCAGTAGCCAACTTGGTGCGGGTGGCCAGCCCCAGACAGGCAACATTGAAGAGTTCCCCCCTTTAGGTCGCAATGCTGCTGCTGAGCTTCCTCTCGGTCGAACTGGTTCTTTGATGCAAGGTGCAGGGTTTGGGGGTTATGGGGCTGGTCTGGGGGCACCACGGTCACCAGTCAGCCAAGTGCCTAATGGCATTTTGGGACAAGAGAAAGACGTACGTTCCTGCAATCACACACACTTTTAGGCAGTACTAACTTTACAACAGGACTTGAACAACGGTGTGCTTCCAGGTCAACGTAACTTTAGCGACCCACAACAGCTACAGCAAAGGCAGCCAGAAAATAACGATGGACAAGATGTTTCTAATGCGCCTCAGAGTACTGAGCAACCGCCCCTTGCACAAATGAGTGAACTTGACAGGTTTGGGTTGGCGGGTCTTCTGCGCATGATTCACAGTGAGAGTCCTGATGTTGCAAGTCTCGCTGTTGGCCAAGATTTGATGACACTAGGATTGGATTTAAACCAGGCGGAGTATGACTTCCTTTGTTCCCATACTATTCACGCATACTAATAATTTGCTTCTCCGCATAGGCCTTTGCACACATCGTTTGCGTCACCATTCGTGTCATCAATGTCAGCAGTCCCTTTGGAACAGGACTTCTCCTTACCGGGTTGTTATAATGTCGCCAATATCCAACCCCTCCAGTCTCGCATTCCTGGGTTCAGCGATGAGACTCTCTTTTTCATCTTCTACAGTATGCCTCGGGATATTATGCAGGAACTAGTAGCTGAGGAATTGATGGGCCGCAAATGGCGGTACCACAAGCTCGAACGGTGCTGGCTAACTCGTGATGAGACATATCCTGGGCCCGTTGACGTGGAACGTGGTGTGACAGAACGCGGCGTCTATCTTTTGTGGGATTCATCCGCCTGGAAGAAGGTTCGAGTAAGTAACTTTCATCCTTTTTTGGGATCTTAAGGGCTGGTCAAGCTAACTATGATCACAGCGTGAATTCATCCTTCGATATGAAGACTTGGATAACCGGTTGGATCCTAACCGAGGCGCCGCCCGCCCACCTGGTGTGATGCATCATGCCTCATGATTTGAAGTTGATATGATCTAGGCGCACGCAGAATACAAGTGGCGTTCGGTTTACTGGTCTGTGTTATATTGCCCAGGGATGGCCAACAGTACATTAGCCTTCGGGGACAGATTTCTTTGGTATTAAACGGGCTATGTGAGAAACCAGGATACGATATTTGAAAATCAGTGCCCTGGATGATCTTGTCACAATATTCTGAAATGCTATGGATTTCTGTAGCTTTCCCTATCCACTTCCCTATCTAGCAAGACTTGCGCGCAGTGGACAGAATAGCCACCCAATCGGTGTCCATGGTCCCATTCCCGTAGGTGTCTTCCAAGTACTTCTCTAGAGCGGGACGAAGCTTGTCCTTGTTTTCTTCCTGTTGCTTCTCATTCCAGAAGGACTTCATCATCATGGGAAGAACCAACATAGTCATCTCAACAAAGACAGAGCATGTGAGTGTCAACTTTATCGTTTTTGGGCGGACGTCGATGTCCTGAAACCCACGCTCCTCGAGCTGACACTCGATCCAAGGCTTCGAGTGCCATTTCCCATCAGTCACGGTCGCCATGAACTTTTCGGTCTCAAAGAAAGGCAGGTTGCCTGGCATTCTTTTGATTGCTGCTCGGGCGATAGCGATCCAGCCGGCTGTTTTAATGTCAGTAAATTTGTTGTCTGGGACAATTGTTTCGATACTCACGCTCGATCCAGGTTGAGAAAGCAATAGTCCCGCCGGGTTGCAGCATTCGGACGGTTTCTAGTGGTGGTCTCTATTAGCCTTGGATATAATCAGAAAGGAAGCCATAATATCCTTACCATCGAGAGCCTTAACAGACTCAGGGAGTGCCATATAGGCTATAGAAGGAACATGCTAGTTAGCCAGTCGAATAAAATCAGAGTGCATCGAGAAAGAACAAACCGAAAGCAGTGAAGATGTGAGAGAACTGAGCGCTAGCCAACTCAGGCTTCTGCGCATCCACGATCTTTGCCTCCGCGTTTTCCCAGCCCTCTTCTTGTATACGGCGTGTGGTATACTCGATCATTGCCGGCGAGAGGTCTCCGCAGGTCAGCTCCCACATCTTCTTGACACCATCATCAAGCTTGTCATTGAGGGAGCTAGAGATAACACCAGTTCCGCAGGCATTGTCAAGGACCACTAGAGGCTCCTCGGGGTTGGCCTTGGACTCGGCGGCCACCTTGCTCTGGTCAACTAGCATTTCGGCGAATGGGCGAGTGACCATCTCTCCGCGCTTGAAGGAGCTAGCATAGGCTTCACTCTTAAAGAGAGCCTCCAGATCGGGTTTGCTAGCCATGGTTGGTAAAGCTGTAAGGTTGTTGGTTATTGTGATGATTGAAGTTGATAGAGGTATATATATCTGTTTAGAAAGAAACTTTGGGTGGTGCGATTCAAAGTTGAGATTATGGAAAAAGACATTCTTGCCAGGTGAAAACGCCCTCTTAAATAGACAGGAGTTATTCTGGAGCTCCCATAGTTCGCCTATTGTTATATCACATGGTACTATCAAGTGCTGTGCGATATGGAAAGTGTCCGAGAATGTCTCCGAGGGTGGGTTTCAGTTGAGTCAACTCCTAAAAAAAGCCCCTTCAAGGGGGATATAGTAACTGCAAACCCCTGCTACATCGTATTCCAGCGCTATATGAATGGCAATGATTGGTTGTGGGTGGGGTTTAGGCAGTTGAAACCCCCAAGGTTCTCTCTTGGTAGTTCCTGATCATTATGAGTGAATTGGCAAAAAAGGAGCTTTGCAGAGTCAAGGCGAACGTAACAAAGTCCTTGGCCGACATTTCACATCAGACATACAGAAACAAGCTTCCGAATGTCAGCCAATAAACAACTTTTGGCTAACGGAGAGATTTAATCTCAAGTTGCCGAGGGCCATTTTTCCATACTTCGATATCACGTGAGCCATACTTTGATATCACGTGAGAACAAAGCCCCCGCGCTGACATCAGCAAAACGACGCCAGACCCAAATGGGCAAACCATCAACAGCGGCTGCGGCAAAACAATCAATCCCCTCCACTTCACATCTGGCCGACCTATGCACTCTGCTAGCGAGCAGAACGCCGTTTCGGAGTCGCAACCATGAGGATTACTGAAATTGTCATAGATGTGAGTCTCAATATTGTTCCTTGGCTATTCACTGCGCTAACTAGATTGTCAGGGTTTCAAATCGTACGCTGTGCGTACGGTGATTTCGGGATGGTATGAAATCCTCCGCGTCAAAGCATGAATTAAACCATGGCTTTTATGCAGTCTTGGGGCGATTGGGTTTACTAATTGCGCGATATAGGGACGAAGCTTTCAACTCGATCACCGGCCTGAACGGCAGTGGTAAATCCAACATCCTCGACGCCATTTGCTTCGTGCTTGGTATCACCAACATGACCACAGTTCGCGCGCAAAACCTCCAAGATCTCATCTACAAGCGCGGCCAAGCCGGTGTCACGAAAGCCAGTGTTACAATCGTTTTCGACAACCGAGATACCGCGAAGTCGCCGATCGGATTCGAGGAATATGCCAATATATCCGTCACTCGACAGATTGTGCTAGGAGGCACAAGCAAATATTTGATCAACGGCCACCGCGCGCAACAACAGACTGTTCAGAACCTGTTCCAGAGTGTCCAGCTGAACATTAATAACCCCAACTTCCTTATTATGCAAGGTCGCATTACGAAAGTCCTGAACATGAAATCGGTCGAAATTCTGTCGATGATCGAGGAGGCAGCTGGTACACGAATGTTTGAGGATCGAAGAGAAAAGGCGAACAGGACAATGGGAAAGAAAGAGCTGAAGCTGCGCGAAATTGAAGAACTGCTGAAGGAGGAGATCGAGCCTAAGCTCGAGAAGCTTCGGTCGGAGAAGCGAGCCTTCCTCGATTTTCAACAGACGCAGAACGACCTCGAGCGCTTAACCCGACTTGTTGTTGCCCATGACTATGTTCGTGGCGGCGAGCGGTTAAGAGTTGCAGGCGAAGAGTGCGAAAATAAACACAACAAAGCACAAGCTCTCGAAGATAATGCGAACAAACTGAAAAGTGAAATTGCTCATTTGGAGGAGGACGTGAAACGGGTGCGCACAGCTCGCGACAAGGAATTGCGAAAAGGCGGCAAATTCCAAGGGCTTGAAGATGAGGTCAAGAACTACTCGCACGAGTTGGTCCGACTGACCACGGTCTTTGATCTTAAGAATGCAAGCATGGACGAAGAGAAAGAGAAACGACAGACTATTCAAAATACTGTCACTGATCTCGAGAAAGTCTTGAAGGAGAAGCGTAAGATCTACGAGAAGCTACAGGCCCAGTATGATACCGCCAAGGCCGAGTTAGACGCACAGAATGTGGAAGTGGAGCAAAAAGAGGAACTGCTTCAGACATTGCAGACCGGTGTCGCATCAAAGGAGGGCCAAGAGAGTGGTTACCAGGGTCAACTGCAAGATGCGCGTAACCGTGCAAGCAATGCCGCCACAGAACAAGAGCAAGGAAAGCTCAAAATCAACCATCTTGAGAAGCGAATCAAAGAAGAGGAGCCTCGCGCAGAGAAGGCAAAGGAACAAAACTTGGGGCTTTTGCGTGATCTCGAAGGGTTGAAGTCTCAAGCTAGCAAGCTGGAATCCGAGCTGACCCGGCTTGGATTTGAGCCTGGGAATGAAGAGAAAATATACCAGGAGCAGACCGAGCTTCAACGGGACATTCGTGACCTCCGCCAGCGGGCTGATGGCCTCAAGCGACAGGCAGCGAACATCGATTTCAACTACGCAGACCCTCATCCCAACTTTGACCGGTCGAAGGTCAAGGGTTTGGTTGCCCAACTTTTCACCCTCAACAAGGATCAAGTCCCGGCTGCCACTGCGCTGGAGATCTGTGCCGGTGGACGTCTTTACAACGTGGTTGTGGACAGCGCAGAAACCGGCACTCAGCTCCTTCAGAAAGGAAAGCTGCGCAAGCGTGTGACTATTATTCCCCTCAATAAAATTTCTGCCTTCAAGGCCTCCGTGGAAAAGATCGGAGCTGCGCAGAACCTTGCCCCTGGAAAGGTTAACCTTGCTCTATCCTTGGTTGGATACGATGAGGAAGTTCTGGCGGCGATGAACTATGTCTTCGGCAACACCCTTATCTGCGAGGATGCCGACACAGCTAAGAAGGTAACATTTGATCCATCAGTTCGGATGAAGAGTGTCACGCTAGAGGGAGATGTGTACGACCCGTCCGGAACACTTTCCGGTGGAAGCTCCCCTAATTCCAGCGGTGTTCTCGTTACTTTGCAAAAGCTCAATGATATCACCAAGGAGCTGCGGACCAAAGAACGGCAGCTCGCGACCTTGGAGGAACATATGAAGAGGGAAAAGAAGAAGCTCGATTCCGTTCGCTCTATCAAACAAAATCTGGATCTCAAGAACCACGAGATTAAGCTTACCGAGGAGCAAATTAATAGCAACTCTTCGTCTTCGGTATGGCTTCCTCCTAATCTGTTCCTCGCAACTTGCAACTAACCCGAATCAGATCATTCAAGCTGTTGAGGAAATGAGAGCAAACATTGAACAACTCAAGAAAGACATCACCGACGCCAAGACTCGCCAGGCTGAGGCATCAAAGGATATCAAGCGAATTGAGAAAGACATGAGTGAATTTAGCGACAACAAAGATAGCAAGTTGGAGGAGCTACAGACAACGCTCGATAAACTCAAGAAGAGCTACACCAAAAATTCTAGCTCGGTCAAAGAGCTACAGAAGGAATTGCAGACTTCCAGACTAGACTCTGAACAAGTTGGAAGCGACTTATCCGCCGCTGAGGAGCAATTGGTTGAGTCAGACAACACCCTCAGTGCTCAAGTAGAAGAGATTGAATCACAAAAACGGGAGCAAGCGCGGCTGAAGGTATGTGATGCCCTTCCAACATTACTCGATAATCATATAACTGACAATTCTAGGATGCCCATGACATCGCACAAGCTCAGCTTGACGACGAGAGGGCCAAGCTGACCGGCTTTGACGAGGAATTGCGAGAATTAGAACAAGCCATGAAGAGCAAGTCCTCTCAGATCACCGAGGATGGGCTCGAGGCGCAGAAGCTCGGCCATCAGCTCGAAAAGCTCCAAAAGGATCAGCACACTGCTAGCCAGGCCGTAGCACACATGGAACAGGAACATGAGTGGATTGCGGATGAGAAGGAAAATTTCGGACGTGCCAACACTCCCTACGATTTCCAGAACCAGAACATTGCGGAGTGCAAATCTACCCTACGCAACTTGACAGAGCGATCTCAAGGCATGAAAAAGAAAATCAACCCGAAGGTCATGAACATGATTGACAGCGTCGAGAAGAAGGAGGCTGCCCTGAAGAACATGATGAAGACAGTCATCCGCGACAAGCGAAAGATCGAGGAGACCATCATGAACCTGAACGAATACAAAAAGGAAGCCCTCCACAAGACGTGGGTCAAGGTCAATGGCGACTTCGGACAGATCTTCAACGAACTCCTACCGGGAAGTTTTGCCAAACTCGACCCTCCCGAGGGCAAAGACATCACAGATGGTCTCGAGGTCAAGGTGTCCCTGGGCAAGGTCTGGAAGCAGAGTCTGACAGAACTGAGTGGTGGCCAACGATCACTCATTGCTCTCTCGTTGATCATGGCGCTCTTACAATTCAAACCCGCGCCAATGTACATTCTGGACGAGGTCGACGCAGCGCTGGATCTGTCACACACGCAAAACATTGGTCGACTGATCAAGACCCGATTCAAGGGTTCTCAGTTCATCGTTGTCTCGTTGAAGGATGGCATGTTCCAAAACGCCAACCGTATCTTCCGCACACGGTTCAGCGAGGGCACCAGTATTGTTCAAGCGTTGACTCCTGCAGATTTGAAATAAGCATGCACATGAGGTTGGTTTGTCTATAGTTTCTTTCTTGGTGCCGGTGGAGTGTGACATGATCATGTCTGGCCTTTGGTGTTTGGTTGATTTTGGATGGGAATGGATCTCTGTCTTATGAATTACGCATGATAAAGTCTATTTCAATTTCTTCATAAGTATAGAACATAAAGCGTACAATGTAGGTGCGTAATATAATAGTCGTGGAAGACAACCTTCCAAACTCGGAAACTCCGGTACCCGGCACGTGCCCGATTCTCAACCTGACCCGTGCCACCTTCCAACGCGCATTGCGATTTCATTGCGATTTCATTAAAAGTTCCTCCCATTGCGCCCATACCTAAGTATCTCACCTGGGCATCACTTATATTAAATCATATCCAACTCGCAGTCTTTGAGTCTCACAGAACCGCTACAGCCAGATACCAACATCGGGGACCCTGAACGCCTGACTCAACTTGCGCTCCGCCAACACAAGATGACAGACGAGGAACCTTCGCTGAACATACCGTCGCTTCTCACTCTAGCGGTTGTATCGTACTTTGTTCTCCGGTGGTTCTTTAACCGTGATGAAAGCCCCGCGGGAGGAAGCCGAGGTCGGGGGCGTGGCAATGTCGTCGATCCGGCACAGGTAGAACAGATCGCGCAGATGTTCCCTCAACTGAGCACACGGGATATAATGTGGGATTTGCAGCGTAATGGGGGAAGTGTTGCCGCAACGACAGAGCGGGTTCTGACTGGACGGGGCCTCGAAACGGTACGTGCTACGCTGATGCTGTCATTAATCTTCCCCGCCTCGGTCCAAGACAAGGCGATTTGGTTGCAGGCTGCAAACATGAACCTCGAATTGATATACAAGCATTAGCTAATTTAATATCTTAGCCTCCTCCGTCCTTCCAGCCTCAGGTCGCACCTCCCCCCACCAACATCCCGTCGACGCAGACCGCCACGGCCGCACCCGTGCCCAAAGCAGACGCACAAGACTTGATATCTCGGTATAATTTGAATGAAAAGGCTGAGAGCCCTCCCACAGAGTCACAAACCGAAACACCTTCTAAGTCCTCCTGGTCTCAGAACAAGGAAGAGCGCCAGCGGATACTGCAGAAGCGTCGGGATGATATGATCTTGGCAGCGCGGAGGAAGATGATGCAAAAAAGCAGGGCGATGTTCAATGATATGAGAATTATCATGCTCGCCCGTTCGACAATGTGACTTTCTGTACACTGCTTTTTGACCTCGATAAACCTGGCCAAACCCGGCACCAGTGTTTCCTCGAGGCCGATATACCCTCCATTCTTTCGGTTTTATTTCGCGGCATGATTTTTGTATTAAAGCGTTCGCATGCTGTATGGTGTTAGTTCAAATTGGAACAGTATCAATGATAACCGTTGGTCGTTGGATCCGAAGGGTATATTGGATTATATACATGAAAGTCGTTTTGGGCATTGGTCTGCGTCACATATGCACCGAATAACTCCAAATGAAAGATACCCCCAAACAGGAAAAACAAAAATGGCCTCAAATGCTTAGAACTCCATGTAATCTTCTTCGTCATCGGCCTGGGTGCCATCGTAACCACCGTTTGCTCTCTGCTCGGCCATCCGTTCACGTCGAGCCTGTTCCTTGGAGGACCCAATTCTCCTATGAGCCAGTTAGCCATGTACTCGAATATACAAGTATCCGAGAAAGAAACCAAACATACCGAAGACCATCTACCACGCCAGTAACAAACCCTCGCTCCTCTCCCAGCTCCATAGAACCGACACCTGTCAAAGCAACACCGCCGCCACCGGTCGCCGCAGCATCTAGCACATCAACACCAGACCTCATTTTCGCCATGCGCACCTCGCGCAGGTCCTTCAGCAGTCTCCGAATCTGATCCGGATCCACGAGGTCATTGCTAGCGGCGTCAAGCAGCAGATTCCCAACCTCAACCCAGTGAAACGGTAGTGAGGGGGATCCCGCGAAGAGGTCACGGTCTGGGCTGTGTTTTGAGGTAGGAAAGGTGGCGCGGCATAGTACCGATTGCCATCGGGTGTGTACTGCGGCCGAGCAGATGGCAGGGCATCGCGGTCCAAAATGCTAGGTTGACCGGGCAAGGGAGGAGGTGGGGAGAAAGCGTTTTTGTAGTCTTGATGCTGGGACTCTACTTCGAGGATGAGAGCTAATGGCTCTGGGTGTAGCCATGTTGGTGGGATAATGTTTGCGCGGCGTTGGCGTTTGAGGAGGAGGGCCAGCCAGAGGGGGAGCGAGGCGCGTCGGGGTGGGAGGAGAGGTTCAATAGGGCCCTGGAGATGGTTAGCCTTTGGGGGAGTTCAGAGAAAGCAGTTTGGGGGCGCATTTACTCCTAGTAGTTCGAGGCCTTCTAGACGCTGGCGGGGCACAATTGTCACTGTTTCCATCTCTGCCAGGAAGGCGATCTCTGAGGCCGTGACGCCCCGAGGAAGATGGAAAGCCATTGAGGGTGTGAATAGGAAGATGAAGGCGATTTAAATTGTTATGAGAGTCGCGATCTCATCGTTTTTTTGGGATGATATCGGTCGTCTTGATCGTGGTCTTGACCGGTTGCTCTGTGTGTCTTTCGTTTCGCTTTTTTCTCTTCCTTCTTATTTGATGATTGTGTCTCTGCTCCTCAAATGATCAATTGGATTTTATTAAATGTCTTCTTTCAAGTCGCGTCGAGATGGTGACTTCGAAACGTTCAAAAACGTTTGAAACGTTTGCATCGGTCGAGCTCCGCAACCTCCGACTGGGAGGCCGACGAACTGCAGATCGTCTGGCAACTTCACTTGCTTGCTGGGGATGATTATTTGGACAGCATGGCCAATCCCCCAGAATCAGATCGCAGCCGGAGTGCTCGATGGTTGGTTCCGTTTTGCTTGGTCTTGATTCCTCTCTGGGTGAGTCTTGTCAACAAGACCGTCCCCGAACCGTACCTCGACGAAGTCTTCCATGTCCCACAGGCACAAGCATACTGGTCGCATAAGTGGACGCAATGGGATCCGAAGCTCACAACGCCGCCGGGCCTGTATTTGTGCTCATACATCGTGTTCGCTATTGTGCTGCTGTTACGCGGATCCCCGACAAAGCTCACCCCGGATGTCCTGCGCATGACGAATGTCGGTGCGACAACAGTTATTTTCCCTTGGAGACTGCAAAATTTGCTTGATACCATACAGAGGACGACAAATACTCGGCCATTGGGAGCGAACGTGTCTCATACCGTGCTGAACATCTGCTTGTTCCCCCCGCTGTTTTTCTTCTCTGGCCTCTACTACACCGATGTTCTTGCTTTGTTGGTTGTCGTGGAGGCATACAATTGGGACCTGAAGAGAGACGCAGAGACAGACCAGCAAACCGATTCCGGTAAAGACACGATAAAAGCGCCTCGCAATAAGGTTTTGGATACATTGGGATTTCTGGCTTTCGCGCTGGCTGCACTGGTTTTCCGACAAACCAATATCTTCTGGGTTTCGGTTTTCCTAGGTGGACTTCAGGTGGTCCGCAAGATTCGAAAGTCTGCCACGCCCTGCATGTCATCCAAAGTGGCAACTATCGTGAAGCAAGGCTTCCAGAATGAGGTGTATGATCCTCTTGTTTCGGAGGCTTCCTTGGAAGGTAAATTGATCTGATATAAGCAATCAGGGGGCCATGCTAACCCAACAGCTAGATTACCTGAAGACCGCTATTTCACTTGCGACTGTCGGCCTGAGACAGCCTTTCTCTCTCCTCGTTTCTCTCATTCCTCACATCGTCGTCCTTGCGGCCTTCGGTGCATTTGTACTTTGGAACAACGGAGTCGTCCTAGGTAAGAGTGACTTGTGTTATTACAACAAATGCGATTTTTTACTAACAGCTGCTATTCAATAGGCCACAAGGAGTTCCATACCGCCGGTATCCACCTGGCTCAGATGCTCTACATCTGGCCGTATTTCACCTTCTTCTCATGGCCTCTTTTCGTCATTCCCCTGATCAACATTTTAACCCCAAAGCCACTTCCTCAATATTTGAACCTCGGCTTCCCGCCGAAACAGAGGAAATATCCCAAGCTCATGGCAGCCCTGATTGTAATCCCGATGATGCTTGCCGTTGTCCACTTCAACACCATTGTGCACCCCTTCACCCTTGCTGATAACCGCCATTATGTATTCTACGTGTTCCGAATTCTTTTGCTTCACCCAGGAATCAAGTATGCTGCAGTGCCGGTCTATTTCCTCTGCGGATGGGTCGTGATCTCCGCCTTTGGATTTACCACCATCCAACGTCCGCCCAAAACCCTGCGAGTTCAGAAATCTGCCCCAGTTGTGCCCCCGGATCCAACTCCGGCTCCAGCTCCGGCAGCTCAAGAGCCCAAACCCACCAAGCCTTCTGTGCGCAAGCCTTTAGAGGCGCATCAACAACCACCAAAGGGAACGAAGAAGCCCAACCGACCCACTAACAAGAAGACCAAGAAGGCCGATCCACCAGCAGAGACCAAGAACGGTGATCCATCTCAGCTACCAGCGGAGATTACGGATCCAAATGACCCTGCGGTCCTGGCTAGGGTCCAGGAACACATCTTCGCGCGGCAGAGAGAATTACTGGAGGCACCGCGCGTTAGCTTCGTCCTGATTTGGCTGACCGCTACTTCCCTTTCGCTCATCACAGCACCCCTTGTCGAACCCCGCTACTTCATCATCCCGTGGGTTATGTGGCGTCTGCATCTTCCTCCTCTGCCATGTCTGTTCAGGGACCGAGAGACTCGCCCCCGCACAGAGGAAGCTAAGCGCCGCTCCGACCTCATTATCAACGCCCCAAAGTTCGTGGAGACGGTTTGGTTCTTGACCATTAATTTCATCACCGGGTATGTCTTCCTGTACAAGGGCTTTGAGTGGCCGCAGGAGCCTGGAAAGACTCAGCGATTTATGTGGTGACCCTTCTGCCTTTTGTCTCATTTCAAGATGTATCTGTGGAATTGCCAACAGGAAAGGTTCAAGGTCATCGACCCCTTTCATGGGCGAAGATCACATCGTCTTGGTTCCCGCCCGGGTGCTGGATTGTATGAAGAAAACTGGGATATGATTCCTTCGCCGAGTGAATCACCAATTCCAGTTTCCATCCAATAGCTTCTACCAGTGTTCCCTTTTCAAGGACGATATTGCATGGGACCGACCTACAACTGGTTCGCCTGTGTTTTTGCTAATTCCTGAATCTCAACCAACTAGACTCAGTTTAATAGTAAATAAAAAAACACTCATATAGATCCTATCTAGTCACTAGCGAGTACTAACCTTAGGAGGGGTGCACTTTAGATTAGAATGAATGTATAATCGCGACTTAGGGCTACAGAACACTCCCTGACTCGAGGGAACCAAAAAAATGGACTCGCGGGGAATCGAACCCCGGACCACTCCCATGCTAAGGGAGTATTATACCACTAAACCACAAGCCCAGTTGATTGGTTGACTGACCAGAATAGTGTATTATCAGCCAGACAACAAGGTGAGGTCAGCCAAATTTAATTCAACAACATATTTCAGTTGACCAGTTTGCCTTCATTGTAACCTCACTTTATGGCAGAAAAGCACCGCCTTCTTATTTGGGCAATATGGTTGATGGGGCGGTGTGATGCCCGTATCCCCGAGCCCTATCTTTTTGCAGAAAGATAATAGCCGGACCCCGAGTACCAAAAAGGGACCCCGACTGACTAGTTCTGACTAGTTACTCGACGGATTTTATGTATTCCATACAAAGTGAACGATTATTTAAACCTTCATCCTGCTAACCTAGGTAACCCCTCTACATCAGTATCATTTTCTCGAAAAACAAACATGGACGCTATGGACGCTAGTTTCCAATCCGCTATCAACGCCGGGAAGATCAACGGCGTTGTAATCTGTGCCACTAATGCCGAAGGTCACTTCGTGTACAACAAGGCAACGGGGGAGCGCACTCTACTCTCAGGCGAGAAGAAGCCACAACAGCTCGACGACGTGCTGTACACAGCCTCGGCCACCAAATTGTTTACAACCATCGCCGCCCTACAATGCGTCGAAGATGGCCTCCTAACTCTAGACGGCGACCTGTCGTCGATTGCCCCAGAGCTCGCTGCTAAGCACGTTCTCACCGGGTTTGCCGACGATGGAAGCCCTCAGCTCGACCCACCAGCTCGGCCTATCACCCTCAGAATGCTGCTCACACACACCTCTGGCACCACATACTTCTTCCTGAACCCGATGATCGCCAAGTGGCGCGCGCAGTTCGGCAATCCCGAGAATGGAGACCTTCGCCCCGTCGAGGACTTGTTCAACTACCCGCTCAGCTTCCAGCCCGGTACTGGCTGGATGTACGGGCCTGGCCTTGACTGGGCTGGCCGTATAGTGGAGCGTGTCACTGGCGGCACGTTATTGGAATTCATGCAGAAGCGTATCTTTGACCCGCTCGGTATCACAGATGCTCAGTTCTACCCTGTTACCCGTGAGGATCTGCGAGCACGTCTCGTCGATCTTAACCCCAGTGACCCCGGTGCTGTTGGTAGTGCCGTGCTCGGCGGTGGCGGCGAAATGAACTTGCGCGGCCGTGGTGACTTTGGTGGTCATGGGCTGTTCATGTCCGGATTGAATTTCGCGAAGGTCATGCGCTCGCTGTTAGCTAATGATGGCAAGTTGCTCGATGCTGCTACCGTCGACGATATGTTCCAGCAACATCTCGGCCCGGAAGCGGCAGCTAGCCACCAAGCTGCGCTTGCTGGTCCTATGGGGCCCTTCTTCCGCGTTGGGACTGATCCAGAATCGAAAGTTGGGCATGGTTTGGGCGGTTTGCTGACGCTTGAGGATGTTGATGGTTGGTATGGTGAGCGGACGTTGACCTGGGGTGGTGGCTTGGCGCTGGCTTGGTTCATTGATCGGAAGAACAATCTCTGTGGTGTTGGTGCCATTCAGGCTGCGTTGCCGGTTGATGGGGACTTGCTGGCCGAACTGAAGCAAACCTTCCGCCGTGATATCTACACCAAATATACCGCATGGAAGGACCAGCAGTAGATATAATTGAGGATGAAGAGGGAAAGGTGTTTCGTTTCGCATTTGGTACATATATATAATTTATTCATCACAGATCGGATCTGAAATAAAAAAGCTAGTAATTTTACTGAGGTCAGATAGCACCCATAATATGATTATGTCTTGGGTTGACACTGGCATGTACACTAAGCTTAGCTGACCAAGCGTCCTACAATCCGGCCCCCATTCTCATGCCAGGTGGCATCTGCCATCTCAAACATGAACAGGCCTATACAGTGGCATTCCATAACGCACACCGGTAATTCGTCAAATGGATCTTTTTCACTCGGCAGGGTTTGCGTCAGATGTAACAGAGTTGATGAAGCAGCAGCATGTCCCGGGGCTGGCGATTGCAATCATACACAATGATCAAATTGTCTCTGCGGGATATGGACATGCGAGCCTGGATCCCGAAATACCTTGCACAGCAGATACGCTGTTTGACATTGCATCGTCCGCTAAATCACTCACTGCTGCGGCAGTGGGATTGCTAGTCGACGATAATGACATGTTCCCGAATATTCAGTACGATGCCGTAATGTCGACTCTTCTCCCCGAGGACTTTGTTATGTCTGGAGAAGGATACACAGAAGGAGTCACTGTGGAAGACATCTTAAGTCATAGAAGTGGAATGGCTAGGTGAGCTAATATTTCTTTTTTAAATTCCATGTTTGAGTTCAAGAACTAATGATATTGCGCCAGCCATGACGATTCGTATATGAGTGTGCGAGCGACGAAGCCAGACAATGCTCGATCCATTACGAGAAACCTCAGGAATCTCCCTGTCGCCGCTCCCATTCGATCAAGGTATATTTACTGCAACATGATGTATACAGTGGCAACCCATCTTGTGGAAGTCAAGAGCGGACAGGATTTTGGTACATTCCTCGAAGAGCGATTTTTCAAGCCACTGGACATGACATCAACTACTCTTCAACCCAGCAGCGCACGATCCAAAGGATTTGAATCCCGCATGGCAACTGGCTACACATGGAAAAGGGCCGACTCCACATATCGTGGGTTAAAAAATCCAGACTGCCCAGAGGGCCAAGGCGCAGGGTCTATCGTTTCGAGCGTGAACGACTTCATCAAATTTGTCAAGGCTTTTATCAATCGCGAAGAGCCTATCAATAAAAATGTTTATGAAGGGCTCACTCGTCTGCGAACTTTTGTGAATCCAAACCCAGGAAGACGGAAGCGGTACACCTCACCGGTAGCATATGCTGCTGGGCTGGATATCTACTTTTACAAGGGACATATGGTTGTCGGCCATAATGGGGTATTCTCTGGATTCGGAAGTCGCTTCTTCTTTCTCCCTGATTTCTCATTCGGTGCTGTAATTATGGGAAACTCAGATGGGGCAAATGGCGTTGCGACGACCCTTGTCCAAAAGCTAATTGACAATCTCCTTGGAGTCACGGACGAAAGACCTCATGACAGCAAAAGCAAAGCCACACGACCTGTTGAAATGAGTAAGAATCAGGAAAAGAAGGAGAAGAAAAAGCAGGAAAAGAAAACCCAGAAGAAAAGTCAAGGTATCCAGAAGGGCCAAGTGAATGAACAAAGACCAGAAGGGAATACTCCGCAGCCACCGACAATGCCTCTCAGTGCTTACGCTGGCAACTACTGGAATCCTGGGTATCATAACTTACTGGTTCAAATCAGAGATGATGCGCTCTTCATCGATGCTACAGATCGCTCAATGGGGTTTACCTTGAAATTCGAACATGTGTCCGATGACCGAAAATTCGATGCTCATCTTACTGATTGGCTCGATGGCAGTGATGACATGGTAAAAGTGGATATTGTAATAGAAGATGCTCAAGTCATAAGGCTGGGTCTGCAGTTGGAGAAAATGCTCAAGGAAATGATCTGGTTCGAGAAGAAGGATGAAGTTCTTTCTTGACAGTCCTGATAGAGATGGATACATTTACACAAGAGGATATGTTGCAAAGAGAAGGAGAAAATGGCCTGTGTTCAAACTCTCCGAAGTAGTCGTTCAGGCTTGAAGATATGATGTGGTATGTGGTGGCACACAGGCAGCCCGGAGATGGATATTTCTAGTAATGATTCATGAGCTCGAATAGAAAACTTTCAATAGATGTGCAATTGGAAATGAAGATAAATCGAGGGGGTATTAAATGGAACGACAAGCACCAGCAGAACATGCAAAAGAAAGAGACAAGTATCACTCATTGTGACAAATGGGCCAAGCCATTCGATCTCGGCTTTTGGTTTTCCGTTCCTTCGATTTGAGCTTTGACGGGTCTTCGCTTGACCTTGGTGGTTTCGCCATGGTTTCGATTGTGGTGGGAAGTTAAAACCGGTAGACAACTCACAGAAAGCAGGTTGCTGACATCTGTGCTACCATCTTTCGCTAGAATGGGATCAGCATCATCAAGATCTCGCAAGAGGTTCTCAATGAGTTCGGCGCGTCCACTAGCGTGGAGAATGTTACCTATGGTAGCATGGAGTGCCAGAAATTCCGGGTTTGCAACTCCGAAGCGGGGATCATTGCTTGTAAGTGTGATAAACTCATCTGTTGGGTACACCACGAACTGAGAGCGAGTCGGGAATTTCTTCAGTCGATATCGGTTTTGAACTGTCGTTGGCTCAAGGACAAAATGGAACTTTCCGAAGTCTTCATGGAAAACAGAAACCATCATCAGGATGTTGTCTTCACGGTTAACATCCCCCAACATCATGTTAAGGCGGTAACGTAAGCTTGGAAAGCATCGGAAGATGTTAGTCCATACTGCCGACATTCTGAATCGCTCATCGTCATTGCGAAAATTCCCGAGGGAGAACGGAAGAATGTGAACTGCTTGTAATGTGTGTACAGGTTCTCCGGGGGGTGAGGGGTAGTGTTGATATCCCAGCATTTTGTTAAGACACATCGATGACCATCACGAGCTAAACAGTTCTGACGGAGTCGCCGTTGGTCAACTCGTGTCACAGGTTCCACATCAAATGTGTTCAAGTGGTCGACAGACTCCTCAAGTTCGAGACGAGGAGAGGGAGTTATTGCTGGTGTTTTACCGCCGGTGGACAACATAGGTCGGAGAAGACCTGTGTCGATGCTCTCGGCATGTTGTCGAAGCTCCTGGTCGTTTTGACATCTGGATAAGTCTTCGATCAGGTTGAACTGCCCGTCTGCAGGTAGATACTTGAAAACAGTCTGAAGAAAGAAGGGTGTGTCGTCTTCTGAGTTCAAAGGCTGGTAACCCTGTAAGATGTCATTCAGGGAAACTTGACGGTCGACAAAGGTGGAGAGATCTGATTCGATGGATGGACTTAAGCTTTGCAGGTCCGACATTGTGGATAGCAAAAGTCAAACAGATTATAGGAGAAGACTTGCTAAACTTTGGATGGAATGCTCATCAACATTGTAGAAAAGAAGGGCTGAAGTGAAGTGGAGCGAGGAAATTGGAGCGAGAAAAGAAATGGGGCGAGGAAAGTGAGGCGAGCTTACCATCATGATCATGTGACATGTGAGATGATATGCTTCAATGACATGGAATATGTAGTTATTGAATATTCTCTCAAGACAGTCCTTGTACTTGCTAGTTATCCTATAACAGACTTCTACACTCCCTTAAATGTCATTGGAATTTTTCTCATATTTCCAAAACTTCATAACAGACTAGTCATTAACATGCAAAATCCCACAGCAAATCTATTTTTTTGACGCATATGAAACGGAAGGATCCACGGGTATCAGTGTCCATCTAGTCTTCATCCATCGATTCCCACCCATCACCACCACGAGGCTCACCCTCATCAGCATCTTCCTCCTCGTCATCATCAGACTCATCATTATCAGCATTGATACCAACAGTGCGCTCCTGGACATCACCAGCAAGGTCAGGCAGACGAGACACAAACGCACGACGGACAGCGCCGTTAGTGGAAGCATCCCAGATCTGCACATTACCCTTGCTACCAGCAACTGCCAACCGGAAACCGACCTCCTGGTCAGGGGCGAAGGTAGTAGAGAACACCTTACCGACCTCAAGCTTGCGCGTGACAACAAGAGTGGGCTTGTCATTCTCGACGCTCCACAGCTTAACGGTCTTGTCTGTTGAGCCGGTCACCAGGAAGCCGGGGATGGAGCGGTTGATATCGAAGGATGAAACGGAGGAGTCGTGTGCTTGCAGAGACCAGACGGGCTTGGACTCGGCCGGGGTGGTGGGGACATTGCGCATATCGTAGCGGTAGACCATTCCACCGTCCGTGGTCACGTAGAAGTAGTTGGAGTCGTGCGAGTCCCAGCGGACACACTCGACGTCTGCGTCGACGCCCCAGCGGGCCTGTGCGTCTGGTGCACGCATATCCGCTGCCACGACGGTGCGGTCGTAACTGCCGCTCAGCAGGATGGTGGACTCGGTCGGGTGCCAGTCTAGTGAGCAGACCTTGTCCTTGTGGTTGGAGTAGGACTTGGCGCAGGTGGCGGTGTTGAGATCCCAGAGCTTGACGGTCTTATCGGCGGAGCCGGAGGCAAGAAGGTTGCGGTGCTGACGGTTGGCGGCCAGCGCCAGGACGGCATCGATGTGGTACTCGTCGTTGGCCTTGGCCTTCTTCTTTTGCTTCTTCTTGGTCTTATCGGCGTCCTGGCCACCCTGTCCGAGAATGGCGTTGGGGTACATGCAGTCCACGACATCCAGATCCCAGATCTCGATATCGGGCTCCATGGTTCCGACAGCCACGAAGTTTCCTTGTGTCCGACCTTCTGTGTTCTTGCCAACGGGGATATCAAGCCACTCGGTGCAAAGCGGGATACCGGGCAGCATGATGTCGTGGTGCACATAGAGGTTGTCTGCTTTGTCTTCGTAGACGTAGACCTCCAAGTGCGCGACTTCGTCCTCCACCTTTCCGGCCAATAGAAGGTTGTCGTGGGGCATAATCTGGAGCTCCTCGCGTTCGTCATCATCCTCGTCCTCGGGGATCACAAGGTATGGGTCCTCCTCGTTGGGCTGGTGGTAGGCCAGGGATTGGACATTGCCGAACATGGTGACCTTCTCGCCATCATCATCGACCTCCTCCTTGTCGTAGTTATCCATGTCGAATTCCTTCAACACATCATCATCGCTGTAAATCGGGATTAGCACGAGTCAAATCCTCACTGCGCTCAACACCACTCACTCCTTTGCATCGGTGCCATTAGCAGAGGGCTTCTCCTCGGTATCATCCTCCATAGCATCACCACCCTCATCTCCGGATCCTTCCTGGGCAGCATTCATATCGTCCTTCGCATCCTCAAGCTGCATGCGCGCAAGCTTAGATATACGGCCCATCTCGGCCTCGTCAATCTCATATTTTGTAGGGAACTGGGCAGCGACACCGCGCTTCACCCATGTCGTAGTCGTAATCATGGAAGACATTGTGAAAGTATTGTGATAAAACTGATCACACCCATCCACTTTTTTTTATCGGGCGATATTTTTTTTTTATCGGTGTGCCTGAGGGGTTCTCCGCCCGGCAGAATCTGGCCGATCTCCTTACCGCCCGGGTGTTTTGCGGAACCGCGATGTTCTTCCTTTGCGTTGATCGTACGATTGAACTTGCAGTTAATTGTCTTTCAAGTTGTTCTGTTTTTCAGCCTAATACCACCGCAATCATGCATTCTCATCTCCACACCTCTTACAACGTCAGTACGTCGAGTCCACCATACCCGGAAGATCTATCCAGCCATCCCATCCCGCTTTATAATTGCCCATACTAACTGATATCACACAGATTGCGAAGAGATCATGACTGCTCTCGATGAGTGTCATGCCAAGGGATTTATACACAAAGCCATTGGAAGTTGCAATGATATCAAAGTCGAAGTAAACAAATGTCTCTCCGCAGAGCGCTTCGACCGCGCAAAGCGCAACCGAGACGAGGCGCGCAGCAACCGCCGGCGTGTCGAGGAGATCTGGGCTAAAGAGCGCGAGCTTGATCAAGGGCCTGCGGTGGCGTCTGCGGCTGCTGCGAATGTTGCCGCGGCTAATGCTGCGAAGCAATAGACTGTGCCGTGAGATGACCATATGCCATCATGGTTGGGACTGGAGTTTGGAGTGTGCTTTTATGCTATTCTTTGATTTGGCTCAGACCTGAAAAGACAGCACTGCTGCTTGGTATTCGTGGCAGCCTCGCGCACGGCTTCGAGATTACAACTCGACTCGGAGATGTTCTCATGAGAATGTACGGGGACAAGCAAGCCGAGGCCAAATTACCTCCTCTCATTCCATCTGGGGAAGAAAACTTGTATGATATCTGAACATGTAAATATATATACGACCTACTGGCATTTACTCTTGTCTTCTTTCTTATGTTTTATCTGGCACCAATGCCGAACACCTAATCTACGATGTACTGGAAGTTGTAGAATCTCTTGAATGATATCAGACGTACATTACTATTCTGTACATCAGCTGAACTTTTAGATATAACCCATCCGATCTGAACGCCGCACCCTAAGAGTGAAATAAGGTTGAGAATGCATGCAATGATAACCAGCATCATAAATCGCCTATGCCGTAAAGATTCAATCAAGCGTCAACCTCCATAGCCTCATTAGGCTCGGCGGCCTCCTCAAAGTCTTCACGAGGACCACTCTTAGCATGACGACGTTTCCTCCTCGGCTTGGCCGCGGCAGTATCCTCGCCATCATGTTGCTCGGTAGCATCTGCGACATCAACCTCCTTCCGAACGGCCTTATCCTTCTTAGGTGCAGGCGCATCAGCCTTCTTCTTCTTCTTCACGCTGAGAGGATTAGGCGCCTTGACCTTAGGACCGCGCTTCTTCTTAGGTTCCGCCTCATCAGCACTCTCGCCATCAGCCTCGCCATCTCTCTTGCGCTTGCCGAGCATAGGATCCACATCCAATCCAGCGCGGAACTTCCCACGCTCATGGCCGTCCCGGACCATCTCTGAGGGACCGCTCATCGGCTCGAGGACCATCACCGAGCGCTTGACGTAGATGATAGGCACACCGGGGATAGAACGGGCAGCGGAGCGCAATGTGTGAGAACGGCGCATCGCTTCCTCTTCTTTACGATCCTCCTCTGTCTTCCGTCTGCGGGGCTGGTTCTCGCTGTTGTTCGTCTTTCTCAAGATTGGATCCGCGCATGCGAGAATGTAGTGCTCCTTGTTCTTCTTTGAGTCTGCGTTTGGTGAAAGCAGTGAGAGGAGACACTCGATTTCGTCGATGGGCGTGGAGTCCGCGTTGTGCGAGCAGTGGCGGAGCGGGAGTTCTGTGGGCGGGGGAAGGAAGAGAGGTCTGTATGGCTTTTCGGTTTTGGGGTTGATGGGTTGTGCGGCCATGATAGCGGCGAGAGAGCACTTTGTCAATACTGCGAGATTGTTAGATTGGGTGCGTCTTGGCGGATGGGAAGTTTGGTGTTTAGGCGACTCACGAGGCTTTACCTTGCCTTGGACTGTTCGTTCAAGTGCAGGAATTAGTTCCATTCTGAAGGAGTCGGTGGCGCGAAGGAAATTCGAGTCAACTATTCGAGCGCAAGTCAGTACTGTACATCAGAGCAATGCATTGAATGGCACATACCCAGGACCTGGTAGGCCTCTCGGAAACCGAAAGTGAGCTCATACTGGTGCATAAGCTTGCGATACTTCTTTGAACGTTTGGCCCTCATTGTGAAAGGTAAATGTCAAGTATTTGAAGATTGAATGCAGCAAAAGACATGAGCTTGTATGTCGACCGAAACTTTTTCATTCTGCCGGGCGGGAGCAGTGGTGTTGTGGTCTGTGCTGAGTACTTTCTTCAAGTGGGGCCTTTAGCCTTGAAATTAAGTATCCTATACATACTTCGCATTTACTGATATCCGCAGGAACATATTATGTATTGAGTCGAAGAGATTATATTATTTATTCCGTTTAGACCGAGAACGAACTATTAAACGACGGACAGCCACATCGTGCCAGTGATGGAATCCTCCATAGGCGAATGTAGAAGGGAAAAGGTCCAAAATACGGTAGATGGGATATTGGGTATAAGTAGGAACCACCGGGTTATCAGGTTGACAGCAGGGATGCTGGCCATAGAGTTGCCTGAGCTGGTGGAAGACACGAATGGATAGGGAGTATGATGATGACCAGGCGAGGCTAGATCAAGCAATCAAGTCTTGCTGAAGGACCGGGGAAAATATATTAAGAAATCCAGCCGAGGTAGAAGTCATTTGCCGGTCCTTGGTGGGATGGGTGTCTGACTGCAATGCATATCTGGCTCTTGATTTGACACTTGCAAGGAAGGAATCATAGCTGTGTAATAGCGATGCAGTTGGACAAGCTTGTGGCAATACATGTGGACATCTAGCCTTAATACTAGACCGAGAATAAAAGCCTGCCTCGTGGTCCGAGATTCGGTATCAATGAATACTAGCACAAGTCTGAGAGACAGGCGCGGAATTCAAGATCGGCGGATATTTCTGAAGGAAAATCTGAGCGAAAACCAATGGCTGCGTCTCATCCATCACTTTTCTTGCAAGATGCGACCACGACGGAGATATCGTCCATTTTGCCTCCTTCAATAGCAAGACCTTCTTCCACTGCTTTCTCCATAAAGGGACTCTCCGCAAAGGGATCCTGGGCAATCGTCAGAGCAGCATTAAGCAGTTCCCGAGCGACAAAGACATTGCGATCATCGGGCATATGAGTATGTTGCGCAACATCCTTTTTTGACGCCGCGCGCCCTTCTTCCCATTTGCCAATACTGTCCATCACGACTTTCAAGACCTCATGCTCCCAGAGGTTATCCATAACGCCATCCGACAGCGCCAGGACGACATCATCTTCCTGCACCGCGATTTTGGACAGAACTGCATCTTTCCGGGGTGTGTCTATACTGTTTGTCCCAAGCTGCATGGGACAATCGAACCAATGCCACTGCTCAGCAGTGCGGAAAAGGACTTTTTTCTCGCCTGGTCGAATCACGAGGATCTTACAATCGCCGAGATTCGTAACGTACAGCAATGGCTTCTGGGCGCCGTCTTGTTCCTTGGTCCAGTGTAGTATGGCAGTGGCCGAGGTTGTCGTTCCAAGCCACTCGGTAGGAGATGTGGTTGCCCGCAAGGTCTCCTCGTATGCATACTGCAAGTATCCGACGGGGTCGATGGTAGATGCGCGGTGGTCGACATTATTTTCGACCTCGAGGGCCCAGAAATGTAATAGGAGTCTAGACCAGAGTCTGTATTTGGCAATAAAAAAAGTTAGCGATGGTGGCCTGATGTGCAAATTGATATTGAGACCACTCACGCAGCATGACCACGAGGTTTGGTCGCCCATGCGCCTACGCCATCGTCGACGCCTATGAAATTCTCCGCGACGATGATCGCATCGTCTCCGTTGTTCAGGCCACGGACTAGCTCGCCCTTGACGGATAATCTCTTATCCTGGCTTAGCCCGTGTGTTGTCAAGGGATCGGAGAAGGATGAAGAGGGTGGGGAAAGGAAAGGTGGAGGGAAGGGTCGTGAGGGTCGTTTGGCACATAGAGCGTAGCCAGTCTCGAATCGAAAGGGCGATTTGGTGGAAAGGAATGTCTGGTCGGGGACGGGAGTGGTGATGCCGTAGGAGGGCCACACTGCCGCGTGATATGGCCGTGCGGTGCTCGGTTGTCGGAGGTGGGCACGCTGGATCGGGGTTTGATTTATGCTTATGTTTGCGATCCACTTGCTAATGGACGTCCATGATGATGATAATGAATGTGACACGGCCGCTGTCTTGGTCACCATCCCTAACTTGGCTCTCTGTGCACCAAGATGGGCTCGGCGAATGAGTTCTGGGGCATTAAGGCATGAAAGGTGAAGAAATAAAGTGCCAAAATACGAGAAGAAAGTAGAAAATAAAGTGTTGACTCAGACCCTTGGGCTTGAGAGCACCGAGAAAAGAAAAAAAGTTGTCACCGACAAAGGCCGAGAATGTCTCGAAGATTTCACTGGCCTGCGCCGCCGACTGTACCTTACACTACGGAGTATCTTTGAGAATAAGAAAAACATCATTCAAATCTCGGTCTGACATTTTATTCTTCTTTTAAATACTTTTACTTTTTCTTTGTTTTTATTTTAAATTAGTTGAATTAGTTGAATTTGTTATATTAGTCCGAAATCCATCTGTTTGATTTAAAAAAAAGAACAGTTGAGAATCCAAAGACGCGGCTCTTAGGGCTATATTTACTTATCTATATCCCTGCAGATCTCATGATCCTCTCTCACAACTTGTCTATGTTGTATATAGTATTCTAGAAGACAATCCAGAGCAATCTTTTCGTTTAAAAGCCCATCAGTGTCCTCAAAATAGACCGCAAAAAGCACATGGTTAGCAAGAAGTCCAATGAGCGGAATCTGATTTATATGTCCACTATGGGATTATTAGTGTGAAAATGACATTAGCCGGCCTGGTACCAATCGCTGAGCTGGCTGGAACTGGGGAATACTTCAAAATACTCCAAGATACCGGCAAAGATGGGTGGGTTGCTTGTTAATGTGGTGAAGGTTGTATATAACCATTGCGTGTGGAGGTATTACCACCAAACCATGGGCCCCGTGAAGCCAGGTGATCCAAAATGACTCACTTATGATGAGTTCCTGAAGGTGCAGCCCTGTATTCTGCTGTTGTTGATGAGGTTCGTCCGATTGTACGAAACATTAGCTAGCAGATGGGGCTGAACTCATTCCATTTCGAGACTAGATATGTAGACCTCTCGTGTTGGCTTCCATCAAATAAATGACATGGCTCATGATCAGTTTCCGATATCTGTCAAATGATGTTATTCACCCTTCGGCTTTCTCCCATTATTACTTCCCTTGGGCGGAATCTCCTCCTCGCCTCGACACTTTCCATCTGGGATCGACAAACCTTTCCTCTTTTCCGTTGTTGCTTTTTTTTTTTCTTTTTTGTTCTTTTCACTTTTTTTTCATTTTCATTTTCGAGTTGCAAGTTGAATTCCTTTTGGGTGATTTTCATGAGATTCGGATGACAGAATACCCACTGTTCTGGGAATCCTTCCTCCATTTGAATGATCGTTGTAGTTCATGGACTGAACTAGCCGTGAATCGTAATCGTAAATCGTAGCCGTAGGTGTTGTCGTAGTCGTAACCATAATCGTAAGTCGTGGCAGGAGTCACAGGACTGCGATTTTAGATGTTTGCCTGGATGTCATTTCTGCGAGTCTCACGTTCCTTGGAGATCAACAGAGAAAACAATTCGAAAGCCTTGCCCAATTCATTGGCAATATCAGTGGCCTTAACGTCACGCTTGAGCTGAGCCAAGCCATCGAAGAACATGCGAGCAGTAGTAGATGCAGTAGCGGCGAAAGTAGGCCCATTCTTTCGGTGTCCAAGACGACGCTTGGTCGACATGATGCGCACAACGCGTTCCGCACAAGGGCAGGGGCGCTCCACCTCTAGGGTACACTGTAGGGAGCATGAACAGATAGAGTCGCAAATGCACTTTTGCTGTCTAACAAGGTAGTAAAGACCAGGGGTGGGTGCGTTCTTGCGCTCCTCTCCGATACATGTTCCCAGCTCCTGGGCGCGCTTAGACATGCGCCTGTCAGCCACAATATCTGTGTCCCAGATCGCCATGCCAATATCTTCCGGGAAGATCCATGGAAGCTGCTCAAATGGAATGTCGGGCGGCGGAATAGTGACGGGATGCATGGTGAAATACTTGTCCGAAATTGCTGCCATGGTCTCTGCCGGGATGGAGTCGAAGCATGGAATCAGTCCTTTCCATTTCTGAAAGTAGGATCCGTGTCGACAAGAAACAGTTCTCTTCGCAAACGGGCGATATCTGAGGGCATCAAATGGGAGCTCATCCAGACTTGGCTCTTTCGTAATAAGGTGTTTGACATATTCTCGCTGAAAGTGGTCAATGATGTCTTTCCGAAGGATTGCACAAATCTCCGGAGAGTCCAGTACATCCTTGAACGTCATGACGATGCGGTAGAGATGATCAGCCTCTGGCATAAGGTATGGAAGCTCGATTCGCAATGCACTAGTGTCGATTCGGAAGGAACCGCAGAGCTCGATGCTGGCTAGTTCAATCGTAATGCAGGCGTAGAGGGCGTAATAGAGATTTTCGACAGTGTCAATCAGCACAGCCATCTTCTGGGTGCGCAAGTTTTGCTCGCTGCGTTTGATCCAGTAGGTCAGGCCGGTCTCAGAGTTGTTGGGCTAAGAGGAGAAAGTCTGTGTTAGCAGTTATATCCCCAAGAAGCAAGAGATAGAAGTATGGAGCAAGAGGAAAGTTGGAATCTAAAGACATACCTCAGCACCGTAATACAAGGTGATTGTCTCCATCATCTTCGACACAGTGTACAACTTGCCGAAAATGCGAACGATGACACCGAGATGAATCGATTCCTCCACAGGGTCCATGTTTTCGGGGGCCACAACCTTGGTCGGAGAGGTGGGCGAGGGCATCGATGGGACCATGACCCAGTCGTCGCTGCTGACGGTGTAGAGACGAAGGTGGCGCTGGCCGCTAGACGCGAGCTATCACAGGTTAAGGTTAGATTTTTGAAAAGTCAAAGCAATGCATGGAGGTGAGCCACTTACCAATGTCTCAGAAAATTCCCATCTGTCATCAAACGAGCTAACCTCCTTTGGAGTTTTCGGCTCAGACTCAGTCGTGGCGGAAGTTGTGGTGTCCATTGAAGGCATGGTCGAGTTGCTGACCTTGCGGGACTGACTGGTGGCACCGCCTGAGATCAGGGACAATGCTTCATCGACGATTGACTGGCAGTAATTGAAGAAGCGTTGTTTCATCTGTTCAATCTCTTCGTATGGAGGTTCCTCTCCATCTTTGACGCGGGCACAAGCATCTTCCATCATGGCCTTGGTGGCCTGGGCATAAGCATCAATACAGTCCTTACCCCGTTGGAAAAACTTATCCAAGTCCTTTCCTGAGCGCAGAGCATTCAGGCGGCCCTGAGAAATGGTAGAAGCCATTGCCAGAGGATTCAGATTAGAATCGGGCGCCATAGGAACAGTTGGGAGGGGAGTGGGTGGGAACATGAATTCAGAATAATCAGGGGTCTCATTCGACACCGGGCGTTGAAAACGAGGATAGACCATCTCGTTCTGGGTCTGCTCACGGGCAAGCTCTGGCTCACGTGGAGGTTGGGCAGACTGCGTTGGTGTCTTTCGTAGTTTGGAGAGGGCAGCTCCCCATCGACCGGTTTTGGGTGCCATATTTTGTGTTTCACGTCTTTTCGTCACAATAGTTTCCGGAAGTATGAGATTATTGTAGAATAAAGAAAGAAGAAAAGTGTGACAAACAAGAATAAAGGTATTTATAGGATTTTTCTATTTATTTCTATTTATTTTCTTTTTATTTTTCCATTCCTATTGTGTTCGTTTCTTTGATATAACAATCGAAGTATAGCGAACGCTCCACATTTGGAAGGTGCGACTCACAACGACTCACAACGCAGTCAACCTTAACGAGAACGGACCAATCAGCTTGCTAATTGAAGTGTATACTTTCTGCAGGCGCGTCACGCAAACAATGAGATGAGAAGCGTCGGGGAACTCAATGAGATTGACGCGCAGGGGACGCGCAGGCTTCGCGCAGGCGTTGGGATACCACGCCGAATGTAGTAAGTAAACTGGGATCCGGAACCTTCAAAAAGAACCTTGGAAGCATGCGGAATACCTAGTCCTGTGATCACAACCTTGGTTAGGGTTGGTTAGGTAAGTATGTACTACAACACCTGTATACTCCTATATACGTATGTAGGTAAGTAACTTGGTTAGCTGAACAGATTGTTTGCTATGTACATCCATCATCCATGGATACTATGTACATCCATACACATAACTATTGTAGTGGGGGACCTTGCCTTCCACCGCGTACTGGCCTTACCTATCCTGTCATTTGCCAAGCATATTGTTATGTAATCTCAGGGAGCGGAGGATACAAGTAGTAGGAACAGATTGAATAAAAAGCACCTCTACTCTCCGAATTGACTCCTTGGGCATCGAGCCCAGGTTCCTTTGTATGCAAGGTTGGGTATGAGACTGAACTGCGAGTGCTGAATCGACCCGTATGCCTCAGAGCATACTGCCTTGAGCGTTCCCCTCTTCACTATGTAACTACATACATATACATATGTATATGCGACGTAGCCAGGTAGCTGGATAGGTGATTCAGATCGTTCGCATGAGACCTTGAAAGTGAGACATCAAGAGCTATGGTTCAACTGTTTAAGGGTAATGGTTTTAAATAGTACTACAAGATGGATGCTGCGACGGAGCATGTCGCCAATAGAAAAGGCCAAAAGAAAAGGCGTATCAACAATAGACTTGAATTGGCTCATACAAACAAAGAAATTAGAAGCTCTACCCCTGCACTCGGAATGTGCGACCACTAGCAGTCTTGCGCTCTCGTTCTTCATTCTCCGGTCGAGCTCGGTTGAGCACTGTCGTGAGTTAGCGAGAAGTATATTTTGTTGAACTGGATGATTCATACCCTGGAGGAAGTCCGCTGTCCTCTTCCTCATTCGAGTGTGGATATAGGCCTGCGATGTACGGTTAGTCATAGTCATCCATGGATGTAAAAACAAGAAGACTAAGAGGAACCACATACCTTTGAAGCTTTGATGTGGTAGTGGAAATAATCGCGGAAGGTTTGGATATGAGAAATATTCTCATAACGACGCTGCGGGGTCAAGTGTCGAGGGAACAGAACTGCAGGCCGAGTCGAGTCAGTACTTATGCAGAATGGAGGTTGATAGCGCATTGTGCATTCATACCAAAGGTGACATAGCTAACTTCGCCCCCAGAAACGTTCAGGCCAGGAACATTTGCAAGCTCAAGGGGAGGGTCGTTACGGAACAGAACTTGAGGGGCATTCTGGAGCGTCAAAACACGTCGCCGGGCGTCCACGAATTCCTATAGGTCTGTTAGTGAGAGCTCCTCATAAATGCGCAGATCAGTTATGGCAAAGTACGAACCTGCAGGAAAACCTTGCCAAAGATCCGGTCAGTCTCTTCACGGAACACGGTGCTGAAGATCACCGTGACTCGGTCCCAGTTGGCTTTGATGTAAATGGCCTCCTCTTCACGGTAGTGAATCGCCATAACTTCACCGCCTTCTTGGATACCCTGTGGTGCTGATTCTGAGGTGTATCTGGAAGCCTCCTCGGCGAGCTTGTTGAATTCATCGAATGCCTTCTCGAAAGGAGCAGCCATTGCGTTCCGTTTCATGAGGGCAAGCTTCATAATCAGGTCATTCCGGGACTCCTCCTCTGCGGGCAAGTTTTCGAGATCGATTTGTACCGAGAAATCATATCCCGGTTCCGGAGATACAATGTAGGGACCGTATTCTCTCTCCAACACCTCCTGGGCTCCGTACTGCACCAGTTCTTTGTAGCATTTCACATTGATCGAGATGAGGATCTTCGTCTTAGACTCAGGAGTGGAGAGATGAAATGTTACACCGTCGAAGTCGGAAACCACTTGGTCAATGGAGGCGGGGGGTGCTCTGAGTTCAGCTTGTTAGCCGGGTGCCTGCTTCGGGGGTATGTGTATAGAATGCGCGGGATGGCAGTGCGGGGGGAGAGGAACGAATCATACCCAGAAAAACGCTCCGTAAGGAGTGACTGGATCAAAGCATTCTGGTAATCTAAGAGAAGCATGACGGGCAGGGCAATGGATGGTATACAATGCAGGTGGGTGGCTGTTGTGAGGTTGCCCGTGATCGTCATGGGCGGTGGGGGGAGCCGTAGAGGTCGCTGTCACCGCCCGTATTAATTTTGTCCTATCGATAGCAATCGGAGATTCCAAAAATTTTCCCATCCACCCTCAACGATGGTGAAATCATACTTGTACGTGCAAATTTTTGTGATTTGGAATCATTTGATTCAGGCGCTAACTTTTACACAGTAAATTCGAGCATTCGAATACATTCGGGCTCGTCGCCTCGGCGTCTTCCAATGCGGTTTGGGCTAAAGATGACCAGACCGGCATTGCGCGCCAGACGGGCGCTGGACGAGCCATTGTCGGAGCAAGTGAGGAAGTTCTGTGCTGGGATGTGAAAAAGGGAGAACTTCTTGGAAGATGGCGCGATTCTGCCTGCAGAGCGCAGGTTAGTGTGGTCACTCAGAGCATGACAGATGAAGATATCTTCGCAGTTGGGTGAGTGTCCTACGGTGTGACCTGGTGGGATGATTTTCCTCTAACTATTATGTGTCTTCTTAGCTACGAGGATGGAAGTATTCGTCTTTGGGATTCGCGCACCGCCACGGTCATTATTTCTTTCAACGGTCACAAATCCGCCGTCACCAAGTTGGCCTTCGACAACGCAGGCGTGCGCCTCGCCAGTGGTTCAAAAGATACCGATATCATCCTCTGGGATTTGATCACTGAGACCGGTCTTTTCAGACTTCGCGGACACACCGATCAGATCACATCGCTACATTTCCTATTCCCTTCCCCAGAATTGCTTACTGCTTCCGGATTGAATGAACATTCAGGATTCCTATTGACCACCGGAAAGGATGCCTTGATCAAAGTCTGGGATCTTGCCTCTCAGCACTGCATTGAAACACATGTGGCACAGTCAAATGGCGAGTGCTGGAGCTTGGGTCTTTCACCTGACCAGGGCGGGTGTATCACAGCCGGCAACGATGGTGAACTCAGGGTTTGGTCGATCGATGAGGCGGCTATGATGGAGATTTCAAAGGAGAAGGTGGGCGCCGATGGTCGCCGAATCCTCACAGAACGAGGAACTTTCTACCGACATGGCAAGGACCGCACACTTGGCATCCGATTCCACCCCCGTTCCGACTACGTTGGATTCCACGGTTCCGATAAGTCGGTCGAAGTCTGGCGCATTCGCTCTCAGTCGGAGGTACAAAAGAGTATGGCCCGGAAGAAGAAGAGAAGAAAGGAGAAGGAGGCTCGCACCGAGGAAAACGGACCGGAAGAGGATAACAACAAGCCTGAGGATGTTTCCGCCGCTCCTGTATCTGAAGTCTTCGTCCAACATGTTATCGTGCGCACTGGTGGAAAGGTTCGTTCCTTCGACTGGATGACCAATAAGTCAAGTGGTCTGAACCTGCTTGCCGCCACAACAAACAACCAGCTTGAGGCCTACAACATTGTGCCTGCGAACAAAAAGAACACTGACGGCGAGGATCTGGACTACACTCGGAGCTTAGCGGTGGATATTCCTGGTCACCGAACAGATATCCGGTCGATTGCATTGAGCTCCGACGACCGAATGCTTGCCTCTGCTTCGAATGGCACTCTCAAGATCTGGAACGTTCGCACCGAAAGTTGTCTCCGAACACTCGAGTGTGGATATTCCCTGTGTTCCGCATTCCTTCCTGGTGATAAGATTGTCGTTGTTGGTAACAAGAACGGAGAAATCGAGGTGTTTGATATCGCATCCTCAACATTGCTCGACACTATCAAAGCCCATGACGGACCCGTGTGGTCACTTCACGTGCACCCAGATGGCAAGTCTATGGTCAGTGGAAGCGCAGACAAGACAGCCAAGTTTTGGAATTTCCAGGTTGTTCAGGAGGAGATCCCGGGAACTAAACGTACCACTCCCCGCCTCAAGGTGGCACACACAAGAACGCTGAAGGTTAACGACGATATCCTCAACCTTCGTTTCTCTCCGGATGCACGACTTCTGGCAGTTTCCCTCTTGGACAACACAGTGAAGGTCTTCTTCGTCGACTCGCTGAAGCTATTCCTCAACCTTTATGGACACAAGCTTCCTGTCTTGAGCATGGATATTTCCTACGACAGCAAACTCATTGTCACTTGCTCAGCTGATAAGACCGTTCGACTCTGGGGTTTGGACTTTGGTGACTGCCACAAGGCTTTCTTGGCTCACGAGGACAGTATCATGGCAGTGGCATTCGTTCCTCACAACAAGGATGGAAACGGTCACAACTTCTTCAGTGCAAGCAAGGACCGTAACATCAAGTACTGGGACGGTGACAAGTTCGAGCAAATCCAGCGCCTCGTTGGTCACCACGGTGAAATCTGGGCACTTGCCATGAGTCGCACTGATGATTTCATTGTCAGTGCCAGTCACGACAAGAGCATCCGCATCTGGCAACAAACAGACGAGCCGTTGTTCCTGGAGGAGGAACGTGAGAAGGAGATGGAAGAGGCATACGACAACACACTCACAGCGTCTCTCGAGCAGGAGGAGGACGGTGAAGACGGCGAGAA